AGTTGGTGGGGTTCGTCTGCTATCTGCTCGTTACTCTTCGTGGTGGGTGGCAGAACAGCAGCGTTAAACAGCCGGAGGAGAGATTGTGTGGCCAGACACACGTATGCAGACGTTCACACGCTTGCTCGTCACTGTGCTGCTGCGAGAGAGAGAGAGGACGGCCGTGTTTCAGACTGTTAAATATCGTCTTTAGACGTGTTTCTGACTCTGAGAGTGCTGGTGTGATTTTCATAATGTTTTTCAAGTAAATATGTCTTGATTTGAGAATCTTTAGCCGTTTAAAAATACTGAGAAAGAACATTTTTTATGGTTGTTCTTGAATTGTTTGGATGTTAAAATGCTTTAGTCATTTGTAAGTCAGTCGTTGGCCGGTGGATTTTGGAGGAATCACAACATTATTTCTGTCCAGCCTGAAAGAGTGACATGGATTCAACCAATGGTGTGCGTTTGGGGGCAGGACTATATCTGTTAATTTGACCAATGGCAGACGAGGGGCGTGTTAAAAAAAACCTGTTACTTTTGTAATTCCATTTGGTGGCAAGTTGCACAGAAATGGCAATATAATGCAACAATGCAATGTTGTATTTATATTATCATCCAATAATGTACACAATTAATTTGATTTAATACTTTTATTAATCAGTCGGGAGGATCATTAGAGTAATTTCAGTAATTTGTCATTACTGAAGCCTTCATTAGTCGCGCTGATCTGCTGAAGAAATTAATCACTCGCTCGAAAGTTATTTTAAAAATCTGTTATTTAAACGGAAAATACTATTTCAAACAATTAAGTTGCTAAAAATAAAAAGGAAATTTTTTACTTTCATCAAAATAAATAGTTTATTGCTTTTGTTTACATCCAATATATTTTTCCTAATCATCTTTCATCTAAATAAATTGAAAAAAATAAATAAATAAAAAGGAAACTTTTCTTTGCAACTTATATAATGTTTCTTAATTTTTTCATCAAAATAAAGAACTAAATTGTTAAAAATAAAAAGGGAAATTGTTTACAACTTAATATAGTGTTTTTAAAAAAAAAACGTTCATCAAAATTAATTGTTAAAAATAAAAGGCAGCTTTTCTTTAATATAATGTATATATATATATATATATATATATATATATATATATATGTTAAACTATAATATAATGTTTTTTTCTTTATTTTTTTTTATAATTTTTCATCAAAATAAATAACAAAATTGTTAAAAATACAAAGGAATTTTTTGATAACAACTTAATATAATGTTTTTTCTTAGTGATCTTTCATACAAATAAATTGCTAAAAATAAAAAGGCAACTTTTGTTCACAACTTTTATAATATTTTATCTTAATAAAAAGATAAATTGCTAAAAAAAAGGCATCTTTTAATTACAATGTACATAATATAATTTTTCCATCAAAATAAATCGCTAAAAATAAAAAGTTGGCTTTTTTTTCTTAATTTTTGTTGCAATTTTTCATCAAAATAAATAACTAAGGAAAATTTTGTTTTCAACTTAAATAATATGTTTTCTTTCATCAACATAATTCGCTAAAAATAAAAATAATCTTTTGTTTATACGATATATAATATTTCCTCTGTGCTGTCACTCAAATACTGTTAAAGTAAAGTTAAAGTTGTTTTATATAAACCTCACTCAGTTTTATAGATTAAAACGAGCAAAAAACATGTCGTGTTCGTCAACCAGATGTTTTATTCTGCATCTCAATTGTTCTGTTTTAAGGATGCTTAAGTATTTTTATTGGAAAACATCCAAAACACTAGAAAATACTATTTCAAACAATTAAGTTGCTGAAAATAAAAAGGAAATTTTTGTTTTCAACGATGTTTTTGTATTTTCTTAATAGTCTTTCATCAAAATAAATTGTTTATTGCTTTTGTTTACATCTTATATATTTTTCCTAATCATCTTTCATCTAAATAAATTGAAAAAATATATAAATAAAAAGGAAACTTTTGTTTACAACTTCTATAATATTTTCTCTTAATAATATTTCATGTAATTAAAAGGCTAAATTGCTAAAAATAAAAATGCAACTTTTCTTTACAACTTATATAATTTTGCATAATTTTTCATCAAAATAAATAAAATTGTTAAAAATACAAAGGCATTTTTTGATAACAACTTAATATAATGTTTTTTCTTTGTGATCTTTCATACAAATAAATTGCTAAAAATAAAAAGGCAACTTTCGTTTACAACTTTTTATTTTAAAAGTATATTTTATCTTAATAAAAATATAAATTGCTAAAAAAAAGGCATCTTTTAATTACAATGTACATAATATAATTTTTTCATCAAAATAAATCGCTAAAAATAAAAATTGGCTTTTTTTCTTAATTTTTGTTGCAATTTTTATCAAAATAAATAACTAAGGACAATTTTGTTTACAACTTAATGTTTTTCTTAATCTTTCATCAACATAATTCGCTAAAAATAAAAATAATCTTTTGTTTATACGATATATAATATTTCCTCTGTGCTGTCACTCAAATACTGTTAAAGTAAAGTTAAAGTTGTTTTATATAAACCTCACTCAGTTTTATAGATTAAAACGAGCAAAAAACATGCCGTGTTCGTCAACCAGATGTTTTATTCTGCATCTCAATTGTTCTGTTTTAAGGATGCTTACCACTGCGCTTCATTCCTCACCAAACTTTAATGAAAATACTCGTGTTCTTAGACCGCAGTGTAGGAAGGCAGAACGGGCTTGGAAGAAAATTAAACTTCTGGTCTCTCACCAGATTTTACGAGACTCACTTCTCGTAAATCAGAAAGTTACCAATCAGCCTATTTTCAAATATTATATTGCAGCACTCAAACTCACCAATAATTTTGTTTCAAACTATTAATAGTTTTTTTAATCCAAATGCTCCTCCATCTACAGAGAGTTGTGAGAAGTGTTTAAGTGTTTTCTCTTTAAGGTCCAGGTTTTATGATTTGGATGGAAAGGTATCAGACAACACTACTAATGTCAAGAGTTTTGATGAATTTGATCTGGTTTCATCTACCGATATTAGTCATATTATTGCTCAATTGAAATGCCCAGCTACCAGTTGGGGATGTTTTGCCTTCAGGTTTGTTTGGTGCGACAGCTGACTTTATCGGACCAAGTATTACATCTATTGTGAACTGTAGCCTTTCTACAGGTCTTTTTCCGTCATGTCTTAAGCAAGCGGTCATTCAGCCCCTTCTCAAGAAGTCTGCTCTGGACCCTTTGGATTTCATGAATTACCGGCCAATTTCAAAGCTGCCTTGTATTTCAAAAATATTGAAGAAAGTGTTTTTTATCTCAGCTGAGCTCTTTTTTTGGCTAATAATGATGTGCTAGATGCTTTTCAGTCTGGTTTCAGGGCAGGACACAGCACTGAATCAGCTTTATTGCGAGTTTCCAATGATTTGTTACTCATTGCAGACTCGGGTAGTCGAGGAGCTTTAATTATGCTCGACCTTAGTGCAGCTTTTGATCTAATAGATCATGATATCCCTATTAAAGGTTTAGAGCATGTTGTGGGTCTGAGAGGGACTGTTTTAAAATGGTTTTCTTCTTATTTGAAGGGACGATCCTTTTCAGTTAGGGTTTCTATTGACTGTGGAGTACCTCAGGGCTCCATTTTGGGGCCTATTCTGTTTTCACTATTTCTGTTGCCTTTAGGCCTTATTTTTAAAAAAACACAGTATGTCTTATCATCTTTATGCTGATGATATTCAGATTTACTTGCCTATTAGACCTGGAGGATCAACTTCTCATTCATCTTTGTTATTATGTCTTGAGGAGGTGAAGTGCTGGTTAGCGCAAAATCGCCTACTGCTAAATGCGAGTAAATCTGAAGTAATCATTTTTGGGCCAAATAAGGTTGGCTGTGACATAAACGATGTGTTAGGTACATGTACAACAAATGTGCGGTCCCAAATAAGAAATATGGGTGTAATTTTTGACTCAGCTCTAACGTTTGATCATCAGATTAAATGTGTGGTGAAAAGTTGTTTCTTTCAGTTGAGGACTATTGCAAAAATGAAATCCTTTTTGTCTGTTGTTGAACTTGAGAGTGATTCATGCATTTATCTCCTCCTGTTTAGACTACTGTAATGCACTTTATTTGGGAGTGAGCCTGAAAACTAAGGGGACTCGTGCATTTTCGGTCGCTGGCCCAAGACTGTGGAATACCCTTCCACCTGACATCAGATCTGCACCCTCAGTTGATGTTTTTAAATCTCGCGTGAAAACATACTTGTTTTCTATGGCTTTTAATTGTTGACTTTTGGAAGATGTAAATTGTTTTAATTGTTTTTCTGTTATTGTTGTTTTTCGTTTTTACTATTCTCGTCTTGTTGTGTTGCTGTCCAGTCCTTTGGTCTACTTTGTAGTGGAAAGGGCTCTATAAATAAAGTAGACTTGAGACTTGAGACGAAACGCCGGCCCAGTGGAGTTGGGACGAATATTCACATTATATACATTTTTCTGCCAATATGCTTAATTTGGTTATGACGTTTCCTGACTTTGTAACTCGTGAGTAAGAGCGTTAAGACAGAAATAAATACTGTGTTTTTTGTTGTTTTATTGTATTTTATATTTTTATGATTTAAGTCATCATTAGTAAGTGTTTAATTTTTTTTCTTTTATTTTAAAAATATTTTTAAAATTTTATAATTTTATGATTTAAGTAATTAATAGTCAGTGTTTTATTTTGATTGCTTTCTTATAATGATTCATCTCATTTTAAATGTTTATGATTTAATTAATCATTAGTAAGTGTGTTTTATTTGGATTTATTTTTATTTTAAAATGATTTGATTAATTTTACATTTGTTCAATTATTTAATAGTAAGTGTTTGATTATTTATTTAGTTATTAATAAGGTGTTTTATGTTTATTTGTTTTCATTTAATTTTTTTTAATTTTTTAGTATTTAATTATTAGAAGTTTGGAAAGCTTTTTAATCTCTCTGTTTTTCCTAATTGAGCGTTTCTTCTTTGTTTCTCTTGTTCAGTGTCTGGAGCCTTGCAGGGCATCATGGGACCTGAAGGAGAACCAGTGTCAGGACTTGTGTGAGGTACGGAAACTCCCGCGCCGCTGTGCAAACCTGTGAGAGCTGGCCTGAGATCAGTGACTTCTGCTTTCAGACTCAGTTCCCGAGAAAGCATTACGAGTGTTTGACGAGCTGCGAGTTCCTGCGCTCCGCTCAGACGCTGAAGCCGGGGGACTGTCCTGCGGCGGAGCGCGCGAGTGGATTCGCAGCGGCTTGCGTGGAGAGCTGCGAAGCAGACGCCGAGTGCACGGCGCTGAAGAGATGCTGTCCGAACGGATGCGGACACACCTGCCAGATCCCCAAGAACCCCTATAAAGGTACAAACACTTCATCAGCAAAAACAATGAATCATTTACTCCCCCTCATGTCGTTCAAACCTGTGTGACTTCCTTTATTCCGTGGGAAGATCTCTGGGTTTTTGCGTCCACGCAATGAAAGTGTAATGTTGTCGTTTTGGACCCCATTGACGTTCATTGTGTGGACAAAAATTAAAAGTCATACAGATCTGCACGTCATCACAGAAAGAGAGAAAAGTCATGCTTGGGTTAAGAATGTTTTAAGATGCAAGTACTTAAAGTTACAAAACGTATTTTTTTCATTTAAGTTTATGTAAACTTTTGCACTAAAGCTGTTAAAGACACTCGTTCATTGAAATCAGTATAAATATTAGATGAAAGTTGAAGCACTAAAAATTACTAGCTGGAAATAACTAAAATTAAATTAAATTAAACCTAAATAATAATATATATATATATAAAAAAAAAAAAATAATAATAATAATGAGAAAAAACACATAAGAATGATAAAAAAGTAAACTAAAATTAAATTGAAAATTAAAATATACAAATAAAGGTCATTCAAAATAATAAATTGTTTAAATGTAATGTAAATGCATACTAAATTACTAAAACTAAAAACAAATTAGTAATATTTAAAAATGAGGAACACATAAACAAATTAAATGAAAACTAAAAATAACAGCTAATTCAATATGAATAAAAGCTATAATAGTATATAAATAATACTAAAATACTAAAGAGTCACTTTGGATAAAAGCATTTGCCAAATGCATAAATGTAATGTTATTCAAAACATTAATAAAAATAACATAAAAAAGTTTTTTTACTTGAACTACTGAATCAATTAAAACTCATGAATAAAAATGATATAGAAAAAAAATAAGAACTATAATTAAAAATGACAAAAAAATACAACAAAAGTACTAAAACCTTAACTAAAATTTTAAAATGAAAAAAAAAAAAATACAAATAAAATATTCACGAAACCTATGCATTTTTTTTTTACTGTAAGTACTAAAATAACTCAAACTAATAAATACAAATGAATAAAAACTGTATAGGAACGTTAAAAAATAAAACATAAGTGACAAGTACTAAAAATGTAACTAAAATTAAAGTGAAATCAGAAATTCTAAAAATAAAGTCAAATTCCAAATATGAATGAAAACTGTCCGCAGAAGTGTGTCGTCTGAAAGTTGTTGCTTCACGGTTTGTCTGTATTGATGTCAGATTTACGGCCTCCCCCTGGTTTTTGCAGAAAGCCGTAAAGCCTTTTATTGAAATGCGAAGGCGATCAGAGAGAGCTGCCGCTGCTGCTGGTGTCAGGAGCGTAATTGTTTCTCTCTGTTAGAAGATCAGCGATGCTGGAAACCATTATCAGGTCAAAGTGAGCTTCGCTGCTCTGTCGATGGCTCTCAGATGTTCCTGTAACCTCGTCTTTCTCCTCGACCCCAAGACGAAGCCCGGCTCAACGAGTAATATCAGTAACACGCTGCTTTAAGCCTTTATTCATGATGCATGTTGTAATGCATTATATCTATTCAGAGATGCATTATAATATTTGCCGGTTCCTCGTTGCATCTTAAATCAGTCGTGCGCTTTAATGCATTTACTAATTATCTAAAGATGTGATAATGAATAGATAAGAATCATAATGTATTATAACTGTGATTAATTATGAGGTCCTGCAATGCATCATGGGGTGCATCGTTAATAAAATACTTTTATAATGCATTATATATTAGGCCTGTATTCTATATATAAAGATAAAAAAATAGAGCAAGGATTTTAAAGTTGAATGAAGATATTTTATTATTTTTCATATTTTTGCAATACATTTACGGGAAGCTCAAAGGCCAGTGCTATTTTAGTATCATTGAGAAATTATTATGTTTTTAATATTTTGAATTCGTTTTTTTTTTGTTTAGTATTCATTGTAATTTTAGTATTTTTTACTAATTTTTGTAATTTTTTCTAGTTCATATTTTTTTTTGTTAAACATGTTTTTATTCATTTTTATTTCAGTTTTAGTTATTTAGTGCATCAAGTTAAACTAAATGAAAATGAGAAATGTTGCCTTGGCAACTAGCTGAAAAAAAACATTTATTGTATTTCAGTTAATGTTTATTTCAAGAAGCAAATATGTTTTTTTTATGGTTTTAGATTTAGGTAATAATATAATAACCCTGACTTTTGCATACATTTTCTGGTCACGTTTTTGATAACGTGATTGACTTGAGATATATGTTTGGTCATAACAATTAATAAATGGAAGAGTTTTAATATATTATAACTAAATTGTTTATAATTAATTATGAGATCATACAATGCATTATAGGGTGCATCGTTGATGCATCAAAAATACTTTAATAAATGCATTATATATGAAGGCTTTAAGTAAAGTGTTACCGTAATGTCAAAACTACCGACATACGCAATGCGTTTTGTGGTTTGCACACATGGTTTTGTCTCTCTAATGATGCATTTGAAAGTGTGAAGCCAGAACGGTGTTTCAGGAGAGTTTCTGAAGATATTCCTGAACGCCTCGTTTCTTTTGATTTAGTGAGCTTCCCGAGAGTGGGGCTCTTCTGTGACGCTCAAAGCCGTCGGCAGGACGTTTTTCTCTTCTCAGATACGTGTTTTCATGTTCTCTGGGCAGTTTGTGCTTTCGTGCTACGTACAATTCCCAGGGAATGCATGATAATAAAGCTGGAATATAATACATATTAGATGAAAAACAACTAAGTTGAAGCACAAAAATAACTTACTAGAAATAAATTGAACTGAAACTGAAATAATAAATTAAACCTAAATAATAATATACTTTTTTTAAATAATACAAATGACAAAAATGCATACAACATTGCTGAAAAAAATGAAAATTAAAACGACACCCGAAAGTATCAAAATAAAAGCTAATTCAAAATATTTATTAAAAACTATAATAGTATATAAATAATACTGACTCTAATCCACACTGAATGTAATGTAATGTAAATACATGAATAAAGAAAAAAAATCGTCCTTCTTTGCTACATAAATAAAAACTAAAACTGAAATATAAATAAATTAAACCTAATTGGTAATAGTAAAAATACAAATAATAATAATAAAAAACACATAAGAAAAAGCTATTTCAAAATATTAATCAAAACTATAATACTTTATAAATAATATTACAATACTAAAAAGTCACTTTACATAAAAGTGTCTGCCAATACATAAATATGATGTAGATGTAAAAGCATAAATGTAGTAAAATCATCCTTGCTGTTTTGATTTGGAGGACTAAATGGCAAATGATGTAAATCTAGGCTGAAATAAAAAAAAATATATATATATAAATCTTAATTTAATTAACAATTTAAATTGGTATTACAAGTAAACTGAAATAAAAAATAAAAAATCACTGCCTTAATGAGTCATTCATTTAACCAATTCGTTCAAATAGCTGATTCATACAGAAAAGAAGCAGGTCCTTCTGAACGAGTCACTGAATCATTGGCTCATTCGATGTGTTCAAACGGCTGATTCGTTCAGAAACGAAGCAGTTTACTGTCTTTATGAACAAGTCACTGAATCATTGACTCACTTGAGTCGTTAAAACGACTGATTCATTCAGAAACTAACAAAGTGACTGTCTTCATGAACGAGTCATTGAATCATCAGCTCACTTGATTCGTTTAAATGGTAGATTCGTTCAGAAATTAAGCAAGTGACTGTCTTTATGAACGAGTCACTGAATCACTGACTCGCTCAATTTGTTCAAAACACGGATTAATTCAGTAACGAAACACCGCTGTGTGTTGCGGCTGTGGCTTTGGTTGTTTGGAGCTATTTTTGTTTGTGAAATTGAGCAAAAACAGACAATATTGTGTCTAACTTATTGCTAATTGAACTGTTGTATAAAATCAATATCACATTTGCAGTGGTGCAGATATTGGGTAAAAGCAGCACTCTTGCTGGTGTGATATTGCTAAACTATATAATATAATATAAATATAAGCCCCACATCTTCAGTGCTGTTCTCGGCTTCTCTGCTAATTTCTGGAGACATTGGACATCTTTGAGCTTCATGTCGTGAAGTCCTTCACGTCGCTCCTCAATCACCGGCGCTCCATCACAGCTGTAACGAATCGAGGAAAGACACAGAGCAGAACATTTTCTCCCTTCTCTTTCCCCCCTGAAGCTTTGTACTTAATAAATCTTTAATTTATTGCATATGGAAGAATTTTAGATGTCTTTGAGGGTTAAATGGAAGTCACTGCCATATGGAGCAGATGGAGGTTTGCTGTGAGAGCATCACATGAACATCACTTTATATCGCTATTTATCATGATGGAGTTATTTTTAAGTATTGCACATCCATTGAAACAATTTTATGTTTTGAGTAGTCATGTGATAATGTCTGTTTTCATCTAATCCAGCAAACGGAAGACCTTACAAATGAAAGATTAGATTATTGTCTCGTTTTTTAAAATTATTTTTATTATTTAATTATATTTTTATTTCGCTTCGACGGCTTTCAGCCTCACTCTGCTTCATTCTGCTACGTTAATAAATCATTAGCTCATCCATGAACATGATTTCTGCCCGAGTCCCGTCGGATTGCATCGGCTGTGGGGATGAAGACAACAACTCCCATGATTCCACACTCAGTCACGGTGTCATCAAACTACGCCTTTGTTTCTTTGTTTGTTTTGAATACGCGCCCTCTAGTGGCGAAAATTACATATTGTGCCTTTAAAGTCCATTAATATGTGGAGATTTCAGCACTAGTGTCTGGTGTTTTGATTAAAGCATCTCTGTCTGTCCGTCCATCTCTCAGGATCTCCTCTGAAGCCGCGGAAGGAGCTGCTGTTTGTGGAGCAGCCGTCAACTTTCCTTGATTATTTATGTTTTGCACGAGCATCTGGTTTTCAGACGGGCCTCAATAACAGGAACCCAATGGCTCTAGATTGGCTCATTTTCTCATTAAAATCCCATTTGCTTAACTTCACTTCCTCTACACAGATGACATAATTTCCCTTAGATGTGGACGACGCCACCATCACATTCACATGTGCTCAGTGATCGCAAGAAAACTCACTACATCATGCTGTTTTCATTTAGTTTTTCTTTCTAGTTGATACTGAGCCTGATCCAGCAGGTGACTGCTTCAAATAAACAGAAAAAGAATTTATAACAAATTACGTGAATTTATAATAATTATAATATTAAATAAAATAAAATAGGAAAACTGTGAAATAATTCCTTTATCATGAAGACTAAAATTTATAAATACTACATGCTGGTTCATGAGTGGTAAATTATCTGTTCATCAGCACCTTTGTTATTGTTAACTAAAACTAAAACTATGAAAAATATTTTTTGTTAATTGAAATAAAGCTGAAATAGAATACTAAAACTTATTTTTTTAGAATACTAAAGCTTAAACTTATTAAACTGAAATAAAATAAATTAAAGCAAATTAATTTAATATTTAATTTATTTTATTTTATTAAAACAAAAACTAATAAAAATAACAAGAGAAATAACACAATTACCAGTTTTATTTTAGTATCATTGAGATACTATTATAGTTTTTCTTAATATTTTGAATTAGTTTTTATTTTTAAATTTTCTATATATTTTATGTTTTCATTTTAATTTTATTTACAGTTTTAATAATATTGTTGTTAATTTTTATTAGTGGTTTATTAAAGTCTGTATGTCTAAATAGTTTTTATTAATTTAATTTAAATTAAATTATTTTTTATTTTAGTTTTAGTCATTTTAGTACATCAAGTTAAACTAATTGAAAATGAAAAATGTTGGCTTGGCAACTAGCTGAAATAACTTAAGTTTAATGTTTTTTTATATTTTATTTTACTTCAGTTAAAATGTATTTTGTTTGAGTTAACAAATTTTGTTTGCTTTTAGGTTTAGTTAATAATAACTACATTTAAACTAAAATGAAAATGAAAACTGAAAATATAAAAATAACTAATACTATAGAATATAAATAATACTATACATTATTTAATATAAAAATAAATATGATATTTATAAATATTGTAAAAGTGATCGTGATCGGTCATTTTTATTGTTGTATTCTGTGTTTGTTTACATTAGAGGTCGTCCGATTGATCAGCCAACCGATTAATCGGCCGATTTTTGGCATTTTTTTATTAATCGGCATCGACCGATTGTGCTGAAAATTAGGCCGATTTATTGGAAGGCGCATCTGCAGCAGCTAAGCGTTGTTGTGGAATGCTGTACCGGAGAACCTCTCTCCCTCTGAGGCTGCATGTGAGACGGAGCAGCTCCACACTCTGCAGCCGTGCCTCATTCACACACAGCTTCAGCTAACGATGGCCGGGCAAAACAAACCGTTTCGTTACTAGAATTGATGCCGACCGTCCTTATCATATTCATAAGTGTAACAAGTCATTTGCATGTGAAAGTAGAAACAATTCAGACGAAACTTCGGGGCTGGCTTAAACATGCATGTTAACTTTCCTCATTAAATGTGTGTGTGGGTCCGATGTCATCGCTCGCGGCCAGTGCACGGCCAGTTATGAGCACCAGGCTGTGTAATATGTGTGAAATCTTTTATTTTTGTTATCACTATGGCCATTTGACTTATAGCATTGTCCAGTGTTTCCCATACACTGATCTATTTGTGGTGGCTCGTCACAATATCAAAACTGACAGCCACGAATAGATTTCCCAAAAGGCTTATACTTCGTTGAATAAACTGAGCACTGCACGTTTCAAAATTAAAATGCAGGCCGGGTGTTTTTATATGAACGTATCTTTGAAAAGAACCGACCGTCTTCAGAAAAGCTTTTGTTATTTTCATTTTGTCTTTCCTGTAATGCCTGATAAAGTAGTGCTTATTAGATTACAGTCGTTACTGGGGAAACAGCTATATTTCCCGCTTCATCAGCGCCTCCTGATGGCAGAGAATGAATTTGCATTTGCAAGTCTGTGGGAAACGCTGGTGTCTGTCCGCAAGCATAAACAAAAAGCATGCTTCAGAACTGTTTTGAGAAGGTGCTTAAGTTTTGAGCCATGTATTATTACTATGAATTAGGCTACTACTACTACTATTACTATCTTGTACCTTGCATTTAATTGCAATAAACACTCAAACTATCTATTATGAGATGAAGGGAGGAAAATAAAAGAAAATTGGCCAAACATATCGGCCAAAAATCGCCATCATATATCGGCTGCCCTGATTTCTAAATATCGGCACCGGCATCAGCCAGAGAAAAACCCATATCGGTCGACCTCTAGTTTACGTAAAAATTAACTCGACTCATTGAGTTGACTTTATTTCTTCTGTATATTTTAATGACAATCTTGGCCACTGTTTTCTATATGATTCGTGGAAATCCCACAGGAATCATCCGAGTGTCCACTGATGTTCTCTGTCTGCAGACCCGTCTCCTCCTCCCGCTCCGTCTGGACTGAGAGCGACTCACATCTTGACGGGACCCGGCAGCCTGCTGACGGTCCGGATCAGCTGGACTCTTCCCGCGGAGCCCGACATTCCCGTCCATCTCTACAAGATCTACTGGAGCTGGACGGTCCCGGGGAAATCAGCCATGCTGTCCCGGAGGAGGAGGAGGAAGACCAGCGATGGGGTGAGAGCCGCTTTCACAAATCCCACCGACACACAGAGAGAAGCAGATGCAGGCCTTCCATTACATCTTTAGTTGACCTGAGTTTATTTACAAAACTGTGCATTTACACAAGCACTCTGAACTCTGAACACGATTAACCCTTCACTGTTCCTGGAACGAAGACGAGCGTAACATTTTTACAAAAATTAAACATGTACTATATTTAAAAAAAATATTTAAGCTTTAATATATATTTATAATAATACAAACATTACAAAACTACATGTTATTTTCAATTTATATATATATCAGCAGATGTGTCTTTTACGTCCAATTAGGGCGGAGTCACCTAAGAGAGAGAGAGAGAGAAAGAGAGACTACGTCCCCAGATGTAACAATATATATATATATATATATATATA